TTCCTCCTCCTCCTCCTTGTCGTCCCCCAGCCCACCGAGGCCTGTCGTGGCTACAGAGGTAGCTCCACCCATCTCAGCACCTGCTGCCCTGCTGCCTGCAGCTCCACCCGGCCCCCGCTCCTCAGGGACGGAGGGGCCGACTGCGACCCCGATCGGAGGGGAGCTGAGCAGCGAGCGAGCGGAGACGCCGACGGCAGCGTGAGTGAAGCGAGTAGCAAATGTAAAGACGCCGTGATGGCGCTGTAACACGTGTTCACGCGTCTCCGTGGTTCTGATGTTTTCAGGCAGGTGAAAAACTCGACGCTGAATCCAAACGCCAAGGAGTTTCTTCCCGTTAAAGGAAACGCGGTAAGTCCTCAGAGGTCGCGCCCGAGTCGTGTGCTTCGTGCACACTTCTCAAACATGCCGCTCATTGTGACTTGCAGAAACCCGCCTCGAACCCCGTCCCGCCTCGGCCGACCCCGCCCAGCCCCGCGTTGGTCCTCCCAGGACAGCCAGGAGGAGGGGCCATCTACAGCAGCCCACCTGCACACTACCTGTCCTACATCTCCCCCATCCCCCTGCAGGGACACTCCATCCAGGTGTGTTTTTATTTAAATGTCCGTCTCAGGGGGCGGGGTTGGTGATGACACTGATGTGATGTAATGGCGTCCTCGTGTCCTCCTCAGGCTCCTCAGCTGTATCAGTACACCGTGTCGACCATCAGTCAGGCGAAATACCCCAGACCCAAAGGTACACGCCGCACTCACGCCTCCATATTTGGTGTCCCTGTGAGAAACGAGCGCTTTTCTTTTCCCGTGCCGCCGCCTCCAGTTCAGATCAGGACGCTGTGTGTCTGTTAGTCCTGCAGTTTGATCGTTGGACGTTCAAATTTATTGTGCTCGTTGAGTTCAGTGATCCGGGTGTTCTTCTGCTCCAGGGTTGGTCGGGGGTCCGCGTCCGGAGCACCACGGCTCCCCGGCCTCCTCCATGATCTCGGCCTCGGCAGCAGGGCCCCAGCTGGTGGCTTCTCCTTACCCCCAGTCCTACCTGCAGTACAGTCAGGTGATCCAGGCCTTGCCCCCACACTTCCACGGACAGGTAAGTGCAGCGTGCTCTTCGCCTGTCGCTGAACCAGGTTTCTGTGAGACGTGCTATCGTGCAGTCGTCACAAAACAGGTGACCTCAGTGACGGCCGCTCGCTTACTGTTGATGTCTCTGCGGCGGTTACGGAAACATTTACAGGAAGATGAGTTCACGTTTCGTCTTCTGTGCTTTTTAAAACGTGGTGCTGACTTTGTCTTCTCTCTTTAACCATAGCCGATTTACTCGATGCTGCAGGGAGCGAGGATGCTGACCGCCGGGGCCGCTCAGCCGCTCGGGCCCCCGGGCCCCCAGTTCCCCGGGCAGGCCGACGGCCCGCCGGGCCCCCAGCAGGCCATGTACGGTAAGAGAGGAGCTGCATGTTAAAATTTGAGCTTCAAACACAAATTTATCTCCTTTTGTTTCACATGCAGCTCAGAGTTGCTGCTTAATGACCCACACAAGTAAATATTTATTGTGAAGCCGATTCAGCTTTCAGTCTGTCTTCAGCTGAAACAGGACGTTTAGAGACGTCTTTTACAGGAACAACAGACGATTCGACGTCTTCGTGGTTCAGACAGATTTGAGAGCTCTGACTGTTTGACCTGATGCGGCGTTCGACTCCTCTGTGATGAAGCTGACATCAGCACATCAGGAATAATATCAGACTAGAGATGAGCTCAAATACATGCAGAAGAGTGTAGGCAGGGTGGAGTGGGTGGGGACGAGTGTCGGGGTGACAGATGGTCTTGGTGGTGTCAAAGAGCAGGTTATTGTGAGAACCCCACCCAGTCAGGTGCTTCACCTCCTCCCTACAGTCTCTCACTGTGGTGTTGGTGGAGAGAGGGGGTTCAGGATGAGGGTGGAGGAGACCTGTTGGGGTTTGCTGGTCAGAAAGCTCAGTATCTGGGCGGACCTCGCCAGTTTTCACTCTCAGCAGAGCATCCAGGGGGCCAGATGTTTCACACCCCTGGAGGAGTTTGGTGGTTGCATTGTGTCGTCTGCATAAAGACTAATAACATTTACAGGTCGTGCAAAAAAAGACGTTTAAACTGGAGCTGGGCATCGTCACTGATTTCTAGAATCGATTCAATTCGATTTAAATCTGGGAAATTTTGACAGTCAGAAATATTATAACTCAGATCAGCACATTTACATATTTTTGTACCTATAAAAAGGAAGCTGACACTTGTGAGACTTGATCAAAGGTGTGAGCGTCACAGTGAGGCCTTTGTGTCAAAGCAGCTGAAGATAAAACAGAAAAACATGAAGCAGATTTTCCTGTTCTGGATTTTATAAAAGTATTCTGCAGTCGATCACAAAGGAAAGAAAACCATTAAGCAGCACATGAACATCACCTCTGAAGTTACAGCAGTTTTATTACAGACACAGCGTTTTGCATTTTGTATCATTTTAAAAAGTTTAAAAAGTATTTCAACAGCAGAAATGAGGTCTTGTTTTCGGTAGACTTGTGCGTAACAAGCAAGCGAATAATGCAGAAAACCGATTTTTAGACAGAGCGGTGCGCTTTTTATCCTGGTGGCAGCAAAACAGCAACGTCAGAGTGAATCCATGACGATGTTTGTGTGAAGCGTAGTTTATTGTTTGGAGAGAGATCAAACTAACAGCTTCAGAATCGGCACAAAAAGGGCGTGAACACAAAGCTCGACCCGCCGACAGAGTCGGCGAGCTGTCGGCTTTCAGCCCCGACCGTGTCCGTGCCGTCGCTGAGAAAGTCACAGCTCACTGATCCTGGGTCTGCGCTGTGTGTTCACGTCTCTGTGCAGAAGCCTGTTCCTGCTCTGTTACTGTTTTCATCTTTGGTGGTTGTTGAAGTTTTGTGAGGTTTCACCTGAGATTCTGGCGTTTCGGGAAAAATTCATTTAAATTAAAAAATCGATTCAGGATTTGAATGAATCGATTTCACGTTATCCAAGCCAGAATCGATTTTAATCGATAAATCGAAGATTAAAACCCGCCCCTAGTTTAAACCAGACTTTGACCACCAGGGGGCAGCGCTTTAGAGCGGATCGTAGATGCTCTTTGTTCGATCCCCGTTTCCTCGGGCTGCTGTTGTAAAGAAGATGCTTGTTATTTGTCTGCTTAAGTAAAGGTTAAAGGTCACTGCGCCATCTTGTGCTTCAAATTGTTTTTGCACACCGTTCCAGCTCTGGTCTGTTCGGCTTGTCTCAGATGATAAAGTCATCGTGGACATTTCTCTGTGAAAACTCTTTAATTTACAATAAAAAGCGTAAAATCGTTGAAGGTGTGACTGCTTTAACCCACCTGTGTGAGGTGGGAATGGTGATTAGAGCTCATCCTTCCTCCTCTCTCAGCTCCTCAGTCCATCCATACTCACCACTCGGGCTCCCTCCATCCTCCTCAGCCCTCCAGCACACCCACTGGGAGTCACCCCCCACCCCAGCACACGGCCCCCAGCCCAGGACACGCTCAGGTGGGTGCATTCTGACGCCAACGATGACTAATCCATCGCATCTGAAGCTTTTGTTCAAAGTCAGGAGAAACTGATAACGCCGCCGTCAGGTTTGTTTTTCTAAATGTTTTAATGTATTTATTGGTTCACACTCCTCAGGTGAGTCAGGGCGCCTCTCAACCTCAGTCCTTGTTTCACTCCGGAGGTCTGTCGGCTCCCACGCCCCCTAACCTGCCGCCGGGCCACGGCTCGCCGCAGGCCGCCTACGCCATGCAGGGATACGGCCTGCCCACGGCCCAGCAGCTGACCCACGGCTTCCCGTCAATCAGCCAGCTCACACAGGTGAACAGGAAGAGCACCTGCCTGAGATAAACCGAACGTGAGGTGTTTCTGTCGCTTTAACCGTTCTTTAGATTCATGTGAGAACAAGTCGGGTTCAGGAATCCGCTGTTCTCACCGTGTGTTGTTTGCAGAGGTAAACGTGAAACCTGGAGTATCAGCCAAAATAAAAACATTTATATTATAATATTAATCAGCTGATTAATAACGCGAGGTTTCCTTTGAGCTCGGCGCCCCCTGCTGTCAGATTGAAACCTCTCCCGTTTGTCCTCTGCAGGCTCACATAACGGGCGGCATGTCGGGACCGCACCACGCTACCGGCCACGGCCCCCCGCCTGTCATGCTGCACTACGCCCCCCCTCAGCAGGGTGGCGGCTCCAACCCCCAGCACGGCCCACCGCCCCAGCAGGGGGCGCCGCAGCACTTCTACATCGGACCCGGTCAAGGTGAGGGGAACGAACCTCCCACAGACTTAAATCTCAGCTCCTGCTGCGACCGTCAAACACAGGCTCGCATGAAACTCACAGCAGGAACAAAGTCGACGGTCGGGTCGTCTGCAGGGAAACCTGAGGGTTATTGGCCACTGAATTATTAGTAAATGAATCAAATCAATGATAATTGGCCTAATCTAAGCTGTGGGAGTGCATCGGCGCCATCGAGCAGGAGACGGTTGGCTCCAGATGGCGCTCTGGGCTGTGAGGAGGATTTAATCCTGAGCTTTTGTGTTTCGTGTCTTCCAGCTGTCCAGGTCCAGGCTCACCCCGCCCAGCAGCTGTCCTTCCATCCGTCCGCCAACTGAAGCCGGCCGGATTCACGATAGCGGCGTCGCCTCCACCTCGTAACATTCCCCGCACGCCTGACACGAGTTGATGTTCTCACCTGGATGTTTTTTAAAAAGCAGATCAGACGGAAACGCCTCGCGTGAGGCGGAGCTTCTCGATTTTTAACACGTAGGCAGAGACCGTCTGTACACACGGACATGAAACTGGACTGAAGACGTTCAAACTGGTGGAAACTTTGTGTGCCCCATTCTTCCTCTGTCCTTTTTACAGACGAAACCAGTTCATTATTAATAAAAGCACTGAAACCGCTTTGGTTCTGTCTCCGTGAAGAGTTTGATTCACTGTAACCTCCAGCTGGGCGCAGATAGACTCGGATTCAGGTTTTCTTTAAAACATTTAATTTGTAGTTCTTTAAAAAACATTTGTTCTCACACTCAGGTTTTTACAGGCCCAGAGACGACAGCAAACAGCAACTGCACATAAATACATGAAAAACACTGGATGGATGAGAACGTTCTCAGGAGGTGTCATCAAAGTAAAGCTCAAACATGTCGCCCCTCATGACGCGAGGCGTGTGAAAGGAAGAGTTAACCAATGAAATAAAACCTAACGTATTCAAGTCAAATATTTAAAGAGAGAAACCTGTGAGTCAGAGTCACTGGAGAGAAACTGATCTGACGCCTCCTCGCACTGCTGGATTTGTCGCTGCTACAAAAGCGAATAACAGGATCCTAATTTAGTGTTCCCACCTTCGTGACTTATAAATACTCTATGGTGTCTCTATGGTGACGCTCGGGGAAACCTGCACAGCGACTTCCTGTTCCGGTTCCAGCCTGTAGGGGGAGCAGGTTTGAAAATGGGACGGCAGTCTACCCACTAAGGAGGAAACGAAATCTGACTGCCGGTTATTACTTTCATTTATTTAAATAAGGTGACGGCAGAGATCGGCTGGCGTGAGGCCGTCTGCGGTCGCTGTGACGGGCTGGCGCGATGATCGGGCTCGTCTGCCGCAGGGACGCTCGGCCGGTTGTATTCTGCTTTTATTGCCGAGTGTGTAATTTTGCAGTTTTTGTTTCAGAGCAGTGACGTTTGGGCCGGATACGCCACACAAACACAAATCCTCACCGTAAACAGATTACATGTCATTTCCGGTCGAGTCGCGCCGCTCCAGGTTCCCGAGTGTAACTGCAGCGTAAAGGTCCAAAAACACTCCAGCAGATATTTACACAAAACCAAAGAAGCAAAACTTGACTTCCTGTTTGGACCGAGGACGCCGCTGGAACAGGATGGATTCCTCCAGAGCACGGCTGGCATTTACCTGGTTTCCAGGTATCTGATGGCCAAAGTGGAAGTTTCAAATGTCAGTCTGATCACACTGACACTGCTGAGCCTGCAGGAAGTGGGGAGGAAGGTGTTTCAGGTCTTCATCTCAGTTTCTTATCTCAGTCGTTCAGCTTAAAAAAAACACAAAACAAAAAAAACTGGTCGGGCGTCGTTATGGAGGAAGGTGAACGCTCGATGTGGTCGTCAGTGGTTGACTAGTCCCATCTGAAAAGAAGAAGACAGCGACTGAGCCGACGTCTCCAACGAGAAGCTGAATGTTGGCGAGTCGCTTCGACTTACAGGTTGGTTGACGTAGTTGGACTCTTCGTACTCGTCTTCGCTGCTCTGAGCGGATGAACCTGGAGTGGACCCTGAACAAAAGACAAACATCCGACCTTTTATAACCACGTGTGCTTAAAAAACCAAAACATTCAGTGAGTTATTTTGTCACAGAGGAGGATTATCGAAGCTTATTTGCTGATGACATGTCAATCAAAAGAAGACAACTTTACTTTGATAAGTCGCACGACGGGGGAAGGTACCGGACAGTTGGAGCATAGCGTCGGGTGCGCAGTGCAGTATACCTTTTGGTGCCACGTTCTCATAGGGTTCGTCGTCGTCGTCTTCTTCTGAGCAGAGAACAGAGGAGGCGATGCGGCGTGATTAAAAATGAATTCTGACTTCTGTTTGAACAGCTGCTTGTTTTGGCGTTCAGACATTTTAAAACTTGTCATACTTTCCTGTTTTGTTTCCGTTTTAAATAAAAGGAAAAGAAACGTTTGAAACGCGTTGAAGCTGAGATTCAACGTGGAAAAAGAACAACTATGTTGCCTTACCATCGAGGTTCACGTAATTATGATCTGTGAAAGAGCACAAACAGCTGATGAGTCCACATTCTGTTGACTCCCCAACGTCCGTGTTTTACGATGAAAGATCCAAACTGCACCTGAACTGGGCGTCGAGGCTCGGCTCTCGATGTCCGCGGGGACTCGTTTGCTCTCCTCCGGATTGTCGGGTAACACCTCTCTGGGGAAACCACAGAAGAAGAGGAAGATCAGTTTAGAGCGTCATCACTGAGGTGCAAACACCAGCTGGAAGCTGCACGTGGAAACCTACATGTAATTATCATGATCGTCAACGTCCTTCTCAGGTTCTGTGGAAAAACAAAAGTCAGCTAAACATCACGTTCCTGCACACTGACATCACAGGGTCAAAGGTCAGAGTTTTCTTCCTGACTTAAATCTAACAAATCCCAGATTCTAATCCGAGTCTGCAGCCCAATCCCGGTCCAGACCAGCTCTCCCAGTCCAAAGAGCTTAACCAGTGCACTACAACCATAACCAGGTTAAAGAGGTCCAATATTGAATCCCAGGTCCAGTTTAACTAATCTCAAAGTTAAATAAATCCTAAAATCTCAGAGTTAAACCTATTAAATCCAGTCTAACAGTTTCCACAAGTCTCACTGATAAATCGCTTTTGGAGGCCGAGAAGCTTCAGGTCTTGGAAGTCAACACCAACAAGACAAAGTGATGAAAGTCAGTCACTAGTTTTTGTTTTTCACACAGAAATGTCACAATATTGAGATTAAAAGTAGATCTTCATCTCCCAGCTGCTTCCTTTAGAGGTCACCGCAGCGGATCATCTACCTCCACCTCCTCCAACCAACTCTGCACCAACCAGTCTAAACTTATCAGATCAGATGTCAGTTCTGAACTGTGGCAGCCTGAGAGGTGAAACATCTTCACGAAGCTCCTCTGAGCTGTTCCTCTGAACAGGCAACAAGCCGGTGTACTCCTGGCATAAAGTCTAATCGTGTGGCTCATCAAAAATGACTCTTTTTAATCCAAAACGGCTCAGATGGGTCTGATCCTCTGGACCACAGCTCTGTCTGTGCATCTGATGATCTGAGCTTCATCTGACTGATGCTGGGCTCACTGTGCAAATGCAAATGGGTCTGATTGCAAAAAGAGGAGGGTGTACCCGTACCTGGATTCTCATAACTCGGGTTGCTCTCTGTAGGACAGAATTGGAGCAACAGGTTTGGGTAAGAAGGTAAAACAGAAAAATACAACTTAAATAATGCGTTGTCCTTTCCAGGCTCACCAGTTTCTGTTGGGGTGTAAGGTCTGTGCTCAGGTTTGGATGAACTGTGAAACACAAAAAAGAGATCTGTGCACATCACACAACGATTTCTAAAGCTCTGCACGCTCCCAGGAGAGCGTCTCCTGCTCGCCAACGTTCATCACCTGAACCAGGTGCGCTCATAACACAGAGGGACTTACAAAGGAAGCCGCAGGTGGGGGTCAGGTGGAGGGGTTGTAATGATGACGGGGTTCGGGGGTAGGGTCGGCTGGGCTGGAACACAGATCAGTGTTAGCTTCATCATCATCAGCATAGAGAGGTATAAAGCACTCGTATCTGTTTTCAAGAGCAGTCGTCCATCCTCGGGGAGGGGACAACTTTACTTTCTCCTAAAAGCTCAAAGTTTCAGTTTTTATTATTTCGTTTACCTCCGTAAAACCCAACCAGCAGATTGCATCAGCTAGTTACACTTGTTTCCCATCCTCGCTGACCTGCATTTGCTTCCCATCAAATACCGCATTGATTTTAAAATGATAAATGACTTTGCTCCCAGATATCTTACTGAACCTCTCAGCTTGTACACTCCTAGCAGAGCACTGAGATCAACAATCGCTCTCAGTGCAGCCTGGGTCTCGGCTGAAGGCCAGAGGTGATCATGCTTTTGCCATAGCTGCACCCGAACTCTGGAATAATCGTCCTACTGCTGTTCACTGAATCAGTTCAATCTTTTAAATCGTGATTGAAACCCATTTATTCAATCTAGCCTTCCCTAGTTAGTGCCTGTATCCTGCAAATGTTCCCTTACGTAGTTTTAATCATTTTATTTTATTGCTGAATAATCTCTGTGTTTTGTATTTACACTGCGCTGAGGCTAATTCGTGCTCTCCACCTGTTGGTGTATTTAGACCCTGTTATTGTTCCTATCTCTATTGTATTACTGTGAAGCACTTTGGTGTACCGCTGCTTTTTAAATGTGCTATACAAAGAAGGTTGTATTGTATTAGTTATTTCATTTGAAGTCAGCGTTGATGTTAAATGTGACCACAGTTTGAAGGTACGCACACAGAAAATCCGTGCACGTCGGACCAAAGCTTAGGCTGATTTCAAAGCTTACCAACGCTGATGCTGCCGCTCGCAAGGCTTCTGGAAGTCGGCATGGAGAGAGGAGCTTAAAGATACAAGCAATAATGAGACCGATTATTGTGAAGTGTGAGTCACGCAAAGCTGCACAGAGTAAAAACACAGAGGTGGAAATGTGAAGGTGATGAGTGGCCGACATCGCAGAGCAGAATCAACCACGTGTTCATGGACCGTTGGTTTGAGCTGATGGTTGGACTGATGTTTCAGACTTACCTGCATGGATGACTCTGAATTCAGGTGATCTGAAAAAAAAAAACCATCATCGTTTCTAAGCTTTGACTCATCGATGAAAAGTTCCTCTGTGCTGCAGACGGGAACACTTACGTGTAGTCTTCTGAAGCTGTTTGTTGGATGGACCCTGATGGGCGAGAAAAGAAAGATTATAATGTGTCAGTAGCTCAAAGCAGAAATCTCAGAAGACGCTGTGCTGGACACGATGGGTGTGAAAGATCTGGTCTGAGTCAGAGATAAAAGGCGTTTCTGAAAACCACAGGGTGGTTTGTGCTCGAGTCAGGTCAGCCTGTGGTTAACAGCGGTTAGCCGCAGGTTGATACAGTGTCAACTGCAACTTTCACCCACGCAGTGGACCTTTGTTCCTGCAGTCCAAACAGATGACGGCCAGGAGGACGATGGAGACGAAGACGGCGGCCGACACGAGGAGGAGGAACCAGGAGAAGTCCATGGTTTATCTGAGAGGGAAAGGAGAAGATCGCAGGTCAGGTCTTAACCTCTGTCACTGCAGATAAGGACGACTGAGGTCGAGTAACTTCAGTTATTTAAAGCAGACTTTGATCAAACCTGGAACAAACAATCCTGAACTTTATCAGATGTGTTTGAGCCTAAAGTGATGTTCAGATTCTGAAGTTTACTTTCACTTTGTTATCAGTCATCAATCTGCACAGCAGGAAACCAACCAGCTTACTGTTGAACTTCCTCTGAGGTCTTCCTCCTGCCTGCAGCTCCATCGTCATCATCCCCCCTCCCTCCTCTGCACATGCTCAGACTGTCTCAGCCTCTCTGACTCTGAGCCGTCTCCCTCACTCCCAGTGAACATCTGAACATCTGCTATCGATCTAATCAGTCAACAAATAAAAGGATGTCCTGTTCACAGAAGCATTCACATCATCTGCTGCGTTGAGCAGTCCAGGCCGTGCCAGACTGAGTTACTGAGACATAATTAGCAAAGGCTGGATCGGATGAAAGCAATCTGATTGGTCAAGGCTCGTGGTGACGACGATTGGCTGGGAATTGGTTTTTGCTTTAGTCATTAAAAACTTTAATCTTCATCATGATATATAGAAATATATATAAATACACACACACAGTCATGAGCTGGTCATGAGCTATATAGCATGGTGGCGGCAGCGTCATGGCGTGGGGGCATTTGTCAGGTTGATAGTTTAGTTAGTGCAGTGGGAAAAATATAAATCCACTCTGAGTGAAAAACCTTTTCAGGTCATGTTTTCACTGCTGTTTGTTACTCAAAAGGCTACAAGCTGAATCTCAGGAAGCTGGGTGAAGACGAAGCAGCACGTTTTGATCCGGACTTTCTTTAGACCTGAAAGAAAGAAAATTCCCTCGAGTGAAGGATTCGCTGGCCGAGTGCTTTTGTTCTGTTTGGATTAAGAGTAACTCGTAAACCTGTGTCAGGTCAGTGCTGACCCACCTGGGGTTATGGTTAGGGTTTGGACTAATCCACTCATTTCAACAGACGAGTGGGTTTTTTTCTTCAGTTTTTACAGGAGGACAAAATATTGGAGACTTTGTTTTACAGGCAGCGTCTTCTAGTTTGAGCCTGTTTATCTGAAGCGGGCGTCCGGTGGCCTGCAGAGCGCGTGAGCTCTTGTTCTCTGCCGATGATTGTGTTTCACCATTTAATGCTAAAAAAGGAAGCAGGAAGTGTCTCAGCCGTGAAAAACCTGCTCCTCACAACAACAAGTCTTTAAACGTGAGCATGGAGGATTGTTACCGCGAGCCGTCTCTTCTCTGGAAGTTTGGTGTTTTTCATTCTGTGGTTTTTCTCGGCTTTTGAACACAACAACTGGAAACTTCCACCAATGAAGCTGCACAAACAAGTCAAATTTCCACTGGCTTCAAACACAAAACAAAAGCTTCAGTTTAATTCAGATTTTGAAGCTAAATGTTCAGAAGTCGTGCGATCAAAGCAGTCCTCCTCGGGTTCATAACGCCGACCCAAACTGCGCTGGATGAGACATAAAAACCAGAAACCTTTGTGGTCTGGCTGACAAACGGTTTCATGCTACATTTCTACATCACTGGAGGAAAAGTGCATGTGTGCAGAGCTGAGGGCTGCTGCACCCGCTCAACTCTGACTGTTACCTGCAGTAAGGTCAGAAAAAAGAAAGGAAAACCTGCAGAAGACATGAATCTGAAAAGTGATACCGATGCTTATGATGGGCCATATACATGTTACATCACAAACACCAAATTCCTGCTGGAGCAACACCCTGGACCCAAACATCCACCCACAGACGTGAAGAAGCATCTTCATCCAGCACAAGTACAGACGGTGCGTCGGTGAGCCGGGACTCTGTGGGATCAGACGACCAAACTAAAGTCACATTTTGACATACTCGGGTCTCTACGTGTACTTCATGTAAATGATGTACCGTCATCATTTACATGAAGTACAGACGGCCACAGGAACCTGGATAACATTAGCTAACATTAGCTAACATTACCGGTAGCTAACATTAGCGGGCGGCCTCTGTCGCTCCACAACAAGTCACTGAAACTGAGCAGAGAGCAGTTTACGTGACTGAGGTTTGGTAGGGTTTGATTTTCTAAGCTGTCTGCAGGTCATTGACAGCAGGTCTCTTTTGCACTAGCACATCATACAAAATACAGATTTTCACAAACTTGTCAGGAACGACCAGGAAAGCTCATCTCACATTATAATCGGACTCATTTTGCCACAAGTAAGTTTGAGTTTGACAAACGCTCGTGTGCTCGTCTTCATCACACGAGGCCGTGAACACGAGGAAGCTGTTCAAATGAAACCGGCTGTCCTATTTTCTTAAATAACTGGTGGTTTTTACCTTCCTGAGTTATCACAAAGAACAGTGTGATGCTAATCTGCTCTCAGGGGTGCGTCACACAGGAAGGAAAACCATCCACCACGTGGTGCGACTGACTGGTACTGCTCGCTTTCTTTCCCCTGCAAACCCAAAAGTCTCCAGTAAACAAGGCCAGCCGGCTCCGAACGCTGGAAACACACTTCAGAGGAAACACGATGATGGAAACCCGACTCAGACGAACATCTTCGGCCTCGGCTTCGCAGCTTTTACTGCATCTCACAAACATCAATTCCACACTGCAGCGAGGAAGGCCGCCATCTTGCAAATGTAGAGCCCGCCACAAACCCCCCTGAAAGGTTTTATTAAACTCTGTCAGCAAACAGAAGCTCGTCTAATAAGGTCACAGCTGTGCAAAGGAAACGAACTGACTGATAATGATCGGTTTTATCTGAGCTGCACATGTTTCTGAGCTAAAAATCAAATATCAGCAGTGAAAATCATGCACCACACCTCAAAGCTCAACATCAAACTCAGCTCATGAACGATTACATCCTTTCATATTATTACATCATCTTCTTAACAATGCTTTAATTCAGTTTCTTCAACTGCCATGAAATCCATGAAATTAATCAAATATGTTTTGAAATCTTCAAACGCAGGTTAGAAATCCGTCCAAAGGTGGATCTAAACCTAATCCCTGAAACCGCATTAGATCAAACCAAAGATAAAATTAGGTAATTGAATTAGGCTGAAACCAGTCTAAAACCAAGCCCAAAGCCACATCTGAAAGTCTAAAGTCACACAGACAGACAAAAGAGACCTCCCGAATTCACAAAAGCTCTGCCGCGTCTTTCAAGATTCTGCCAAAAGAAATTTGTTTGAAATTTATTTTTCTTCTAGTCCAAAATAACTTCAGTCAGAAACCAGTCAGTGTAAAGACCAGTCTGAAACTGGGTCTCAAATCACCTTTAATACAGAGTCTAAACCCAGTAGACACTGAGATGGTCCGAAGACACGAAACTAGGTCAGCTCAAAATCAGTCAAAAAACCCCACGTCCAAGACCCAGTCTGAGCCTACGTTTGGAAATCAAACAAAAAATGGCTGAAAACCAGTCCTCAACCAGTCTATAACCAGTTATAACCCATTATAACTAGTCTATAATAGTTATAACCATTCTATAACCCATTATGACAATTTTAACCGTCTATAACCAGTTATTCAATTCAGTTCAGTTTTATTCATATAGCGCCAAATCACAACAAGAGTCACCTCAAGGCGCTTTATACTGTAAGGTATATAATATTATAATAATATACACAATATATATATAATTATAATATATATAATATAATAATATACAATAATATATATCATCTATAACCAGTTCTAATCCATCTATAACCCATTTTAACCAGTGTATAACGATTATAAGTATCTGTAACGGTTTATAACCAGGCTAAGTCTTTAGCACTAACTCATGAATCCTAATGATTCTTGAGTTTCTGAGATCTTTACGTGATCAGCAGGATTTTTTAACCCTAACATCCTCACATGTTTCTGTTTGTTCACGATTATCAAACTGTGAGCAATAAAATACACAAAAATGAAAATGAGAATTAGCGCTCATATTTTCAAAGTGATATAGATATTTTTAATTTGTTAGAAAGTCCAAAAGCTCCAGACTGAAGCCAGACCAGGCCCGAGTCCAGACCACAGCTCTGATGTGTGGAGTTGGACTGAAGACGCTGAGTCTGACTGAGTCAGGGGGATCCTGCGTTTCTCAACAGAAAGTAGAAACACTAAAGTCAAGTAGAAACACTGTGCTGCAGGTTTTCTGGCATCATCAGGGTGAACTTCAGGAAGTCACATGTTCCAGTCTTCAGATAAAGTCCTGATAATCAGCTCCGTCAAACTGTCAGCGCGCTTCAATGTGCAGCTCAGACAGGATGCAAACAGGCTTTGAGCTGCAGCTGGAGGCTTACACACCAGCCTGCTGCTCATTTTAACTCCATCACTCCAACGTGTTGCTTATTCTACTCTCGTTCACAGCGCTCCAGCACCGCGTCACGAAGGCGCATCATAAATAAGCGTTGCTCACTCACAACTCAAACAGCTACAGTTCTAAAAATATGAGGTTAAAACATGAGATTTTTTTTAATGTAATCACTCTTGTGTGTTTGTTTTTATTGTTTGCTGTGAGTGAAGACAGCCATAAACACAAAGGTGTAAGAAAACCTGCCCTCCATGCGCACAACCACAGGGGAACTCTTTTTTTGCTGTGCTCTACATTATGTGACAACTGAAAATAAGGCAGGAGGCGTTTTGGGGTTTCGCCACGTAAAGAAAGCTGTTTCTCTGAAGCGAAGCTGCAGATCTGCTCATGTACGAAGAACCTGCCGGCACCAGCGGCCTGTTCGGCCTGAACTCACAGCAAACCAGGTCACCTGACATCTGGCCCTGCAATGAGACGCCAAACACAGCCGAGCGGGGCTGTAAATGTGGCCCCGAGAAGACTCCTCGACCGCGATGCACAAAAACCTGAAAATTCAGCTTTTTCTCCTTTTGTTTCACATTTCAGAGATCCTGGAGCCGCTGATACGCGCAGCGCTCTGTTTCCTGTGCAGCGGGTTATTTTAACCAGTTAGGCTCACCTGAGCCCACGCCGCCCATCAGCTAACCTGACTGGACCTCAGGCTAGCTTATATATGGACCCTTCTTATTCTCATCTTTGTTTTTTTAATTCTCAGATAAATATCAGAGAATTTCATGTAAAAGAGAACGAGTGAACTTCACCGCTGGTAAACAAGCAAAAGGTCAAAGGTCCTGATGATGGAGGAACTTTTGTGATTTCTCTTCTTTGAGCTGCATGAAATCCTGCTTTTCTAACAGCAGAGCTCTGATTGGGTCTCACACACACATGTTGGAAATGACCTTTTGCTTCTCTGGGCTGTAAAACCTTCACCTTCAGCACGGGCGAACCATATACGGCCAACACGAGCCCGCCGCTGAGTCGGCCTCAGTGTTCAGATCAGCAGACCGCACTCTGAAATCATCATCATGCGTCGTTAGCAGCATTTCTTTGTAACGACGCACCTTTTGGTGAAATTTCAAAAGTTTAGATTGTCGCTGTTTTAAAACCAGCCTGTTAATGAAATGTGCGAGCCTTTTATTCAGATGTGTGGCGTACAGCAGGATCCCGCCCCGCCCGATACAACCTGAAACTCTGTAAAAGAAAAGGAAGAATCTGAAGCGTCAGGTCACCGGTGTTCGTTCGGCATCCAAACGCTTCTTATCGAATTCTTGTCTGTTTGGAACGCCGACAGAAACAACCCGAAATGTTAAAACGTGTAAAGGCTCATTAAAATGTTTCTGAAAGTTTCACTTTTCTGTGGCGAACAAAGACCGACCTCTCACAGCGGAGCTGGACTTGGGTTGAACAGGTACCATCTAACTGATGGATGGTACTATCCAACCAAAAGGCAGAATCCAGGCGGGGGAGGAACTTCAGGAGTGATTCCTGAGATCGAGTGCAATGAAACGAGCACGTCTATGAGAGCGCAGGCCTGTCTCCTGCCCCGGGCCTCGCTGACTAACAAAGACAGTTAATGGAGCCACAAAGTGACGGGAAACTCACCTACACCCGAGAACACGCGGCGGCGGCAGAGGGAGCGGCGGTGGAATGCTGGGCAGAGGATCGGAGACGTTTTGGGGCCTGCAGCTGCTCTCTGCTCCTCATGAGGCGACTACTGTAAGCAAACATCCGTCATGTCTGAGGACTTTTCTCCGTCTCTTTCACGCCCGTCTGTCCTCTCTGATGAGCTGATCCGGTGTCTGAGCGCCTCCGTCACTCCTCCGTCATCGCCGTACCCAATCACCTCCTGAGGGCCGATCTGCAGGTGTCCTCCTCTGAGAAGAAGACGGACCTCGGGTCTTTGCGAGGGGAGACTTTAGCGTCAGGCAAAGAGGAGCGATGGGGAGCGGCTGAGCTCCCAACAGAGATCAGAAGTATGAAAGTTGTGCAGAGTCTGGTGAGTCAGCGCTGCTGCGGTGAGCGGCGTGCGTGGGCCGGACTAACTGCCCTCTCTCTCCGCGCTCCTCAGCTGCTGGTGGAAAGTGGAAACCGGAGGCCTGCAGCTCAGAGAGAGCAGAACAAAGTCTTTCACGCAAACACCTCCAACCAATCAGGAGGTGCGACTGCGACACCTCGGCGCATCTCCGGGTGTTAAAAGCTGCAGCGCTGCGTGAACGCTGCTGCAACCGTCTCAACATCCTCCCACCTACAAACAGGAAACCACAGCCTCTCCTCCTCACTCCCCTCACGCAGCCTCTGCTCTCCTTCTGCTCAGCGCTCGCGGAGCACAGAGGGGGGAACGAGAAACCCCGGCATCTCTCGGCGAGGGCGCCGGGGGCTTTTTCGTTTCTCTGTGTGGGTCCGGTGTGTGACAGCGAGGCTGGGAGCGATCCCACCTCCATCAGAGCCACCAACCAGAACACACCAGTAACACAACCACACCCGACCTTTGACCCTGCTTCACATCCTTACTGTCAAGGTGGCCCCTCAGACACACACACACACACAGACACACACACACACATAAACACACACACACACACAGACACACACACACACACACACAAACACATAAACACACACACACACATAAACACACACAC